GATCATTCACACGCGCCTCAAGCAGTCGAAGATTGACCGCTACTTCTCACCTTTCACCGGGTGACGCATGCTTCCTTGCCCCCGGTAGACTATCTGACAAGCTTCGTGCGCTGGACTCCTATGCTTACTTCTCCTGCCTGCACTGCTTTGCTCAGTCCGTGTAAGAGGTCTCATCCTCATTGCTTTCTCACTCTTCCACTATCTTTGTAAAGAGCTGGCCTCAACAGTAATATGTCTGCGTTTAGGAGCAAGTCTAGACTACAGCCGCGCATGCGCAGCTAGCATTCTACAAAGGGGCTAGCGTACCTGACTCTATAGACGCCGCCACGTGTTCACGGGCGTCAGCTGCCGCGAACTGTGACCCTAAAGGAAGCAGTGAAGCCAGCAAGTAGCAATACACAAGGGCGAAGGCCCCACAAGAGGCACTGTCACTTTGGGTGCATCTGTGGGCTGCTCGTGAGGGCACATACTCCGTCCCGCTTTCATCACCACTTGCAGCGCAAACTACCTTAACTGCCAGCTCCGACGAGGTCATGTCCACTCCGTCCAGCGACGCTACTGCTTGGCGACATTTGGCGCGGTGGGCAAGGAGTCATACGTCGTTGCCTCGCGCCTCTGCCTATCAACATGAATAAGTCTCCAGTCATTCCCAGCTGATGCGCCTATCCACCTGATGGCCCCCGTTCCTAGGTCAACGCAATGCATAAAAAAAGCATGACGAGACTTCTCCAGACCGTGTAGCGAGGCGCTTCGACCCCTCATGAATGACGCTGACATCAAGTCTGCATGTGTCTCACGCGATGAGGCATACAAGAGCATAAAGGAGTCGGCGATGTAGAACCCTGTCGGGGGCGCGTTAGAGAGGACATAAAAATACGAATCGACGATCTCGTCGTTGAGCCATCCACCAGCCAATCGCGGAGCCCATTCCTCGCACGCATGCTCAGACCCAGACCGGACCGTCCAGCGCACCCATTCGCGCGGGCGCTGGAGTAGAGCGGTGAGGGAGGTGCCCGTAGCCGGGAGTGACGAGCCAAGGGCGCCCGTGGCTGGCACAATCGGCTTGGCGCTTGTCGCTGTAGGCGCCAGGCTGCTTGCCCTACTCAAGACTTTCCCACGGGCACAACCAAAAGCGCGGGCAGCTCCTGCTCCAGTCTTCTGCAAGCTTTGCCCCGCAGAGTTCGCGGACTGCGCCGATCGAGACCTGCGCTCAATGATGAGCGCCTGTATGACACTGCCGAAGCCTGCAAAGGGAACAAAGGGCCCCCGCAGCGTCAGTGCCGCTGTCGCACATGCCGAGTACGAAGAGCGCACCCGGTCTGCGCGTGGTCTCTGTGTAGATCCACACTACACTCTGTGTACGCGCAGTGGGATGTGTGCACTGATCAAATACGCAATGCCGTCCTCTAGTGTCTAGACGACAAGCAATTTGACCTCATATGAGGCCAGCTTTTTTTGCAAAAATATATAAATTAAATCGAAACTTTAAAACATTCAGTTTGGACACCATTTCTTTAACGTATACGCGCTCGGCAATAACATCTTGCAAAACATTGGGATGGCGGTTGTCAATGCACAGAGAGACTAAGAATCTAATGAAGTATCAACGATGAGTTGACTTTTTAAACAGGCGTTTTGGTTTCGAAGATATCAACATAAAACGTTTTGAGGTTGGTCAAAAAAGGCTCCTTTTTGGGCATTTTAAAAATGGCTGGAGAAGACGTGCAGATCTCACCAAACTCCACCCTCCCACAACGCAGAAGTCAACTGCCGTGTCGAGAGTATCTTTTTTCCATCTTGTTGAGCTAGCACAAGTCGAGAAAAATAAGTTGAAAAGTGACCTCATATGAGGTCATTTGTCACCTAGACACTAGAGGGATGGCGCGTATCCGGGACGTCTGCAAAGTCCGCACGTGTACTGGTGGCACCTTTTGATTTATTTTTGATTAAAATGGGAGGGTACACATAGTGTGCAGTGTACCCCCGAATGAGAGGTCAAATGAGGGGTCCTGCCTACAACGAACCGTACCGAAAGTAACCAAAATTATACAAATCTTGAGGCTTCACTGGGCTCCAAAGTGCACTCTACCGAGGGTTCCACTGTATAGTATGGGTACACTACGATCGAGGGAAACCTTCGATTCTGGCCCATATGGGCATGTGTGGCGGGCAATTCTGGCCGAAAGTGCACTATAGCGAGGGAATCACTGTATCGTGGGGTCACTATATCGAGGGTTTACTCTGTACACGTATTGTGAAGTTGCAAACTTGATCTAACTTTTCTACGTACCGATATTTCCCAGACCACACGTGAATTCGAGCAATTGACATATTCGAGACACTCTATGCAGTTACTCTAATTACTCGGTCGCGACACAAATGCCAAATCCACCATCATGCAACGCAGTTCATTATGCAGCAGAGACATCTAACGTTCGTTGAAGGAAGCCAAGCACGAGTACGGAGACGGGAGACTGTTATCTGCTATTCCTTGTTTCTCTTGAACTTGTCAACAGTCTCCGATAGCCCCTTTTCGCAGATTGCACTTATGCTGTCACCAGTTCCCGCGTCTTTGACCCTCTTAAGACACATTGTGCGCTTCTCAATGATGTCGTATCGGTCTTCTTTGGCAGGTCCGTAGGAAAGCGGTGTGGGCTTCCCAGCTACGTTCGAGGTGCTCTGTGCATTTGTCATAATGCCCCTCACCTCGTTGTGGCGACCAGTAGTGTCCAATCTCATTTCCTTAATATCTTCCGCAGCCCCTTCATCATGTGATGCACTCCGCCCCATCTTGCCAGATGATGAACTCAGCTTCAATGCAGAGCTCGAACCCCCTTCTTCCATTCCAACATTTAAAGTTTTTAAATTTACATACACCAAAAACTGGTCTGGTTCCGTAGTGTCCAAGCAGCATACCATAAAGAAAATCCAAACCCGCTTCATATCCGTCGTGACGACCTTCCCTTCCTTGTCATGCGGCCCTAAAAAGTCGTTGACGTTATACGGATCGTTGTTTCCCGACCTACGGTAGTCCTCCAAGCGTTCTACAAACATAGAACGTGTCCTCTGGTACTGTAGATGGATCTTCCACTGTGTCAACAATAGGGGCTTTTGTTCGAGATTGAGAGCACCCTGTTGATAGTGCTATCTGTTTCCTGAATGCACACACTCCAGTATTCCCTCCCTCTTCTCTACGGGACAACGGCCTCTCTTCGCATTTTTGTAATTATTGTGCGCATTGGACCACCACCTAGTCTAGCTTCAATGCGCTTGCCGTTGCCAATACATCTGCCAAGTCCTGCTTCCGCTGCTCTGCCACTTGCGCATCTACTTCGGGGGGCTCTTGCTTTGCGCTGTTCTTCGTATGCGACTGCCGTCGTAATCTACGCTTCTCGGCGAGCGACATGCGCGACGGAGGTTTCTTAGATGCTGAGTGATTTGCCTTTTGCTTTTCCAGGTTTGATGCGAGTGCTGATAGAGCAGCAACGGCATCAGAAGCGGCAGGTTGCTTCGAGCCTCCGAGCACAGTAGTGACAATTTCGTTGCTTGGAGCCTCTACTTCATCCTCGGCCTCCGAAAAGGACTTTGTGAGATCGACTTCGCCGTTGGCGGAAGTCGACGATTGTTGCGGGTTAGGTCTTGATTTTGAGGGAGCTATGAGCTTTGACGCCGCACTGTCTTTGACACTGGTAACGCTAGACGAGCTGCCGGCCTCCTGTTGTTCAAGAAGAGATTGACTGGCATCGTCCGTGCTTGCGGCCTGCCTCTCCTCAGAAGCGGTTTTCTCAGCAACGTTGATACTGTCTTCTGACAGGACGGGGGTATCCGGTTGTTGGGGGAGGGATGGGGCGAATGGGCTCGTGGTTTCAGTCTGCTTCTCGTCGGCGGGCTCGCTCTCCACGACCTTTGCAGCTTCAGCTTCTGCTACAGCAGGAACTTTCTCACTATCGCTGTCGCTCTTCGCTTCCCTTGTGTCTGCTGCGGCGCGAATCCCCGTTTCCTTTGGCTCGTCAGTACTGTCCCCCGCCCTTGCCTCTATTTGCACGGCACCCCTCCTATGCGGCGCACCCGGCTCTCGCTCCCCTGCCATGTCCCCATCAGCCGCCCGTAGCCGCAGGTTGTCTGTCGCGGCCGCGGTCCCGACAGCGCGCACAACCCCAACCTCCTCCGCAACCGGTGGCACGGCAATGCTCCTGGGTGGCTGCAGGCGGCTGGCCGGGTTTGGGCCGGCGCTCCTGATGATGTCTGCGAGCGTGACGGGCGTCTTTTTCATAGCGCGTTCCTTGCGCTTCGCCTCCCTCCTCTTCTGCCGCTCGGCCCTGTCCGCGCGGCGCCTGCCCGCGCTCTTCGCGTCTGCCTGGCGCGGCTGCGTGGGGGGCTTGAGCGGCGGGTGCGGGGGCCTGGCTGCGCGCGGAGCGGCGGGGCGGTTGGGGGGCGGGGCGGGCGCGGGCGGCGCGTGGCCGTGCAGGTGCGAGATCTCGGCGCGCAGGCGCGACAGCTGGGCCTCCAGCAGCGCGAGCTTCTCGGCGTGCATGGCGGCGGCGAAGCGGTCGCGGTCGCGGGCATGGGCTTGGCGGCGCGCCGCCAGCTCCGCCTCGAGGTCGGCGTCGGAGAGGAAGGCGACGCGGCGCGACGCGCGCGGGCGGCGCAGGCGCGGGGCGTCCAGAGAGAGGGCGAGGTCGCGCACGAGGCGGTCGCCCGAGAGCTTGAGGTTTGCAAAGTGCGCGAGCACCGGCGGGGGCGACATGGTGGTGGGACAGGCGGCGCAAGCCGCGGGTGGGGGTGTAGCGGAGGAGGGCGAAGAGAAGCGGCGGGGGCCGCGTGACACGGTAGGGACGAAAAGCGGCAGCTGGATAGAGAAGGGGGAAAGGTGCGGAGGAAGAAGGGGAGAGAGAGAGGAGGGCGCGGGATCTATGCGTGCACGTGGCGCGCGGCGGTTGGCAGAAGTGGAGGGAAGGTTGGGCATTCATTGGTCGGTTGCGGAATATGATAGATAGACATTTGGGCAAAAAAAAAGACGATGTTGTTGATTCAAAAGTCAAGTTAGTGGGAATTGTACATAACTATCATTGTACTGTACCCTTGGTACTGTACATAAGAAATCCTATCAAGTTAGCCTACCTACTCCACTACGAGCGTTTGACGTTGAACGAGCTGCCGAAAGAAGTGCTAAACGTATCGTCCGAGCGCGAGAAGTTACCGCTAGGGTCAGAGCTATTGTCAGTCGAGAAGCCGAAGCCGACGATAGAAGTGCTCCTGGGCTTGCGGGCAATCTCGGAACGCTTGCGGACGGAGAAGGCGCAGAGCCTGGATGTCTGGCGCGCGACGAAGCTCGAGTGTTGTCGCGGGGGCTTTCGCGCCGACGCGTGGCGCAGCTCCTTGTCCTGAAGTGCGACGCCGTGGCTGCGAAGCCTGTCGGCGTCGAAGTTGGCGAGCTCATCATTATCGGAGGCGGGGGCGGGGGCGGAGGCAGAGGCAGGCGGCGCGGCCCCGGCCATGCGGTCATAGCCGTTGCGCAGGACCTCGTCCCAGTCGACGTGCTCGAAGAAGAGGCTCTCCTTGAGGTCCTGGAGGTTGAGTCGCGAAGACTCGTCACGCGTGAGGAGGCCCTGGAGCATCTCGACGGCGGCGGGGGAGAGGACGGACGGCCACTCGACGTCGGCAAACTGTATGCGGCGGTGGATGTCGGCGGGTGAGTTGCGGGTGGCAAGGCCGCGCGGGCGGTCGTCGAACGGGGCGCGGCCGGCGAGCATGCGGAAGAAGAGAACGCCCAAAGACCAGAGGTCGGTGGCAATGCCGTACGGCTTGCTGGAGACGATTTGCGGGGACATGTAGCTGTTGCTGCCGCAGAAGCTCTTGGTGCGGCCGAAGCGGCCGGTGGGGATGATCTTGGCCAGGCCAAAGTCGCACAGCCTGGCGTCGCCGTGCTCCGAAAGCAGGACGTTCTCCGGCTTGAGGTCACGGTACATGACGTTGAGCGAGTGGACGTGCTCCAGGGCCAGGACTATCTGGGCCATGATCGGGCGGGCGTCGGACTCCGACATGCGGCCCTTGTCCTTCTTCGCCAAGGTGGTCTTGAGGTTGCCGCCACGGCAAAAGTCGGTGAGCATGTAGAAATTTGTGGCGGTCTGAAAGGCGTGGCGCAGCTGGACGACAAACGGGAATCCCCTGACCATCTGCAGGACGACCCTCTCATCGAGGGCCCTTCTCAGACTGCCGTCGCTATAAAAGGCGTCACACTTAAGCACGACCTTCATAGCGAGGCTCTCTCCAACAGCCTTAACAAGAAAGACGCTTCCGCCGCCGCCCTTTCCAATGGGGGAGACGACGTCGAAGTCGGCGAGTGTGGGGGGTGTCCTCGCTGCGGCGGCGCGCAGGGCGGCCTCCCAGCGCTCGCCGGTGCCGGGGAGCTTGAGGTGGACGGCTTCCCTGGGGGCGGTGCCGGAGACGGCGACCGAGTCGCGGCCGGTGCGGCGGACCGAGTGGACGTCGAGCGCGGCGAGCAGCGCGCCGGACGAGGTC